CTTTAAACATGAGCTGATCACTCATTAAAACAATGTCCGGAACAGGGCCAAAAAAAAACAGTCTTGTACCCTATTTGATCATCAATCTTGTTTTTTTTCGTGCCTTTACTCACAAATTCTTGTGTTAATGGATGTTCTTATATCTGATGTCTTGGTCCCTGGATGGTGGTTTACTACAGCATCTGTGGAACAGAACAATTACAAATAATTAGAAGTTCACAAAAGACAGCAGGAATTATAACAATATCCATAATATCTATATTAAAGCATGGGCTGGCTTGGTGAACAATGTGGGAATACAAATAGTGGAAGAATAGGCTTTGTACATTTTCGTCTGAGTGTGGCGCTACTGGTTGGTATATTTTATGGAATTTGGACCAAGCATCTGCATCTGTAACAGTTCTGTTTAAAACTTTTTTAAATGTAATTGCATTCATCTTTAAAGGTAGGGTAGGTAAGTTTGAGAAACCGGCTCGAGATACACTTTGTGTTATATTCCATGGAATGCTCTTAACATCCCGATAGCAATGAATATCTGAAGTGCTTTGACAAAAAATCCATAAAAAAATATCATCTGTGGAAGCCGTGGTACTGTAAAAAGCACATCCAATCATTTTAGCCGGCCCGGCTGAAATGACTGGATGGCCTACCTGCCTGTCAGCCTTCCATCTGTGCACAAACTTATCTCGTGCCCTCATTGGTCATGTGCGCGTTCGTGTGTGTTGGAGGAGGGGCTCTGTGAGGAAGTGGCAGATTTTTTCCGGCTGTGTATTTTCAAATTCTAGCGCACTCGAGCTGGTTTCTCCAAAATTACCTACCCCACCTTTAAAAGACTACTTTTATTGAATGAGAGTTTTACCTAGCACAATGAGCCTGGGGTGGTGGGAAGGGAGAACTGGGCCTCGGCATCGGCAGGAGTGGTAGTCGCCTATGAGTATTAGAATTTAGATGAACAAAGGCATAGAAAAACCCTGAAATATGTACTGACACAAAGCTACAACCCTCGATTTTGTAAGTAGTAGTAGTAAATACATACGTATATACAATATACAACAATACGCATAATGCAATTAGCAGTACCAGTAATAAAATAACTGAATAAATAGTAGTAGAACCTTTATTTATCCAGGAAAATCAATTAAGAACAAATTCTTATTACAATGATGACCTGACAGGAGGCAAAAGGCGTCCTGAGGGGATGGGGTTTGGGAGGAAAAAAATAAAAAGACAGACTCCGGGCACTACAGAACCCAGGAGACAACACAATGACACAGAGCAGAGATGACAGGCATAGCAGTTAAACATATAAAATCTCTAAAACAATATTGCTGTGGTTAAATCTGTCATTAAAATAATATAGAACATTCATCCATTCAATCCTTCATGGCAAGGATAACTAAGCTGAATAGTGAATAAAGTGATATGTGAAAAGTAAAATGACAGTGAAATTAAATGACAGTGCGTTCCTTACCACTGCGATCTGGCTCCTCTGTCCTCGTATATTTTGGGTCTGATTCCTCACTACTGATGTCTGCCTCTGCATGGGCCCTCTCTCCTTATTTATTCTGTCTCAGTCACCACTGCTATCTGGCTCCTCTGTCCTCTTGACTTGTGGTTCTGCAGGCTTAGTTCGACCTATGAATTTCAACAATGCTCCTGTAAAATATATAGATATATAGTATTATGGGTCAACATTAAAATAACATACACTGGAGAGCAAAATGTGAAATGCCATTGACTGTAGGCTACATATTATCCACACAATTGTCAGCAGGGGCAATAACAACTAAAATGTGAACTAACTTGAATGCATTAGTCCACAACACATAGCCTAACGTAGAGTAGAGAATGAATGAATGGTTTCTGCAAAATACACAGAAATAGAAATAAGGTTCAAATTACAATAACTAACCAGACGATGGTTATTAATAATAAGCAACAGCAATACTAATTGTTGCTAAAACACATTAGACACGTTGCAAACACACGGCTAATAAAAGCTAAGTTAGCATCTCATCCACACACTATCATAGCTTAACTTAGCTAACTAGCTAGCATTAGCTCAATTCCTGAACAACATAGAAACTAAAAACGGGACATCAAGACTCATTAACACACTGACTGAGCAGGACACTATGCATACAATCTTATAACATTACCAACACTAAAGATCTGCATATATGCTCACATTCTTCACGAACGCATTCTCTCTGTGACGATGGTAATTATGCATGTGACGATGCGCAATAATGTCCTGAACGCACATGTGTAACCAGCTCGAAGACCCGTAGCTGAACTACTTTAGCTGTCCCTAAATGTGCCTGACTAAAACACGAACGATATAATGCAGATCAAGGAGAACAAGGGGAATTTACAAGACATAGACTAACTGTGGTTACATTACTTAACTAGCTCATCGTCGTCACCAGTCAGAAAATGTCCGTTAGCCGTGGGGCTAGTTTTCGCTATGTTAAACTCCATTGACTTATGCTAAAATGTTAGTGATCTAAAGGTCCGCTATTTTTGGCTGTTTTGGGTCGACTTCAGTTGACTGTAAAATCGAAAATCTTCGAAATTGAATGTTCACAAAGCTGCGGACCGGTTATACACTCATACACGAGGGAACTAACATAGCTAATTTAACTAACGTTAGCTAATGTAGCTGGTGTAGTGCCGAGAGACGGGACATACGGATTAAGCAACTAGACTACTTATAGTGTACATGCAGAATTATTTCAATTTAAAATAGTTTTAAATGCTCACACACATACCTGACTCTGGTGCTGTATTTTCCTCTCGTTTCTTTTTAATTTTCCGTTTCGAAGCACCTGATGAATGCTTTCTCTTTGACACTCAGCGACAGAATCAACAGACAGAGGCAGCAACGCAGATTTGAATCTGCCAATCAGATCAATCTATTGCTGGAGAGGGGGGGGGGCTCCCCGAAATCAGCCGGAAGTGGCGCATTCGAATACTGTTTGGGCTGTCTGCCGTGGATGGGCTGCGTTCCACTCCAAATAGCCGGTCGGCCGTAATATATGCATAGATATATATGCGTGCATATATTCATATATATATGCGTGCATATATGCATATATATATATTTATATATATATATATATATGAATATATATATGCGTGCATATATGCACGCATATATGAATATATATATGCGTGCATATATGCATATATATATGCGTGCATATATGTGTGTGTCTATATATATTTATAAACTGTATATTATTTTCCATCATTCAATGGACAATTTGTACTTTTTTTATATGTAGGCTACCATCAAACATATGTTCATATATAAAGTGGGTAACTATACAAAACGAAGTGAGATAACTGTTTATGAATATCTGTTCAATTTTATGTAAACTCATGAAAGATAAATGAGTGTTTCAATAAAACTATTACATATAAATGTATAGTGCAGTTTTTGTTTTCATTGCAATATTTTTTTTTTATATGTATCAATATATAGCCATACATGGTCCATGCATATATTGCAATATATTTAAAAATATAAGGACTACTTTCCCATATATGGAAATGTATGATCCAATATATTGTATTATATTTACCAATATATTACAATATATTTTTGTTTCATAAGGGTTATAGCCTAGCCAACTAAAGGTTGTCTTGTTGTTAGCCACACTGCATAATGGTATCAGCTTTTGTAAAGCAATGTTGCCATAGATGTTTTGACGTGAGTATAGATCTAACGCTGTTGCTCTGTTTTTCTTCATTCAGTGTCCAATAAAGACAGGCTGACAGGGCAGGTCAGCCAACACAGTCTCACGGCATTTCGTGTTATAGTCACGAAATTAAACTATTGATTCGTGTTCACCAACACGATTTCGCAATTTCTTTCGTGTCACACAGAACGATTTTAAAAGCAATGTAAATAATAACAAATTAGAAGGAAAAACAGATAAAAAAAAATACAGATTTCAGTATTCTGACACAGAACGATTTTAGAAGCAATGTATTTCTATTGGTAGTATGTTTTGTGCCTGCACCAAATAATAACAAATTAGAAGGAAAAAAAGATAACAACAAATACAGATTTCAGTATTCTGAGGCTCTGAGCCATTTCTTTTCCTCGCGGACAGCAAAAAAACTCTGACATTATACAATTTAAAATAAAAGGGATAGGGTTAGGCTTAGGGTAAGATATTGAGTAAGAAAATGTTTTTATGAACCACACAGCTTCTGGTATTCCAAGACCCGACCGGACAAAAAGACGTGGTGCAGGCACGAAACATACTACCAATAGAAATGCATTGCTTTTAAAATCGTTCTGTGTGACACGAAAAAAATGCGAAAATCGTGTTGGTGAACACGAATCAATAGATTAAATTAATTTCGTGACTATAACACGAAATGCCGTGAGACTGGGTTGGGTCAGCGTGAGAGCCTTGTGCTACAGGTCAATGAGGAAGAGCGAGACAGCACACAGTTTGAGTGTAGGCAGGCAGCATTGACACTGTGTTCCCCCCTGTTTATTGAGTTTCAGTTCAGTTAAGCATTAGTTTACCTTAAGGGAATCTCAACAGTGTCCTACTTCTCCCTGCTTTATCACAGCTGATTGGTCAGATATTATTACATTGATTATGGATGTGTAAGTTTGGGGGTTCAAATATATAGTCAAAACTGCTTTAATACAATTTTCAAGGCATCTTAGTTTCCAAAGAAGGTTCATTGTGGTATTGTAGGGTTAGAGGGTAACACTAAGCATTCAGGAATACATGCTTCTTCTAGGATAATGGATCAGTAAAAATAACCAATAATTCTACTCATAACCTCCTGGCTCATTTACCACAAGTGAGGTTACTAATCACTAGTATTTCTTCTCTCTTTTTTAGATAACGCTTCGTGATTCATCACCAGTGGTGCTCACGTGTTGCAGGAACTGTTTTGTGCAATCACACAGTAGCATTGCTGTTCCAAACGGCACACTACACCGAACTGAACATGCCAGTTGTGCCGCCTGTGCATAGCTGTACTGAATCGGAACAGCAATGGCACAAGCCGCGAACAATGGTAATTTCAATAAGGTTCAAATACTTCTTTCACAGAGTTTTTGTTTTAAAGTGACTCAACTAACAGTAATTGTCTTTTCCTTAAGGGTGTGAAGCCAGGGCCCATCAACTCCATGGTCTTCACCAAGCCTGTACCAAATAGGATGGTGCAGACTGGAGTAAGGTAATTTTAGCTGAAAAATTGTGTTTCCTGTGTTTTTTTAAATTCATAATGCTATTCTGGTGCTGTATTCCTTACCTTTATTGTCACATTAATGTGCTATATTGTCTTTGCCATTCTTTGTAGGAGTGGATTCTACAGAGGCATGGTGGGGCCATTACCAGATCCCTGCCTGTTCAGAGTTACGGAGGCATACTCAGCATTCAGCATTGAAGACAGACCGCTTGTGACCACAATGAACATGAGACCCTTGTGGAAAGTGCCTTCGGGATGGTGCAGGAGGGCAGTGTTCTGTCTTATCAGATGCCTGCTTTGACGTCTCGGTACACCACACTTCACACTGACACACCACCAACACCCCACTTGCCCACATGTTTTTGATATATATTGTTTGTCACATTTCATATGTAAATAAATATACAATTGTATTTAAAAAGACAATAAAGTGAAGTGATTTTTTGTAATTAATAGTAAATCATTGCATTTGTAAGAAATCAACACATTGTAATTTGCAATTTACCATTTATTCAAACAAAACACTAGTGTGTGTTAGGCAACACGGGATTACGGTGTGCTCACCCAGCTTAATCACAGCTACCTGCACAGGTGTCTTATTTCACCCATTTCTTGACCAGTGCTTTGTTCTGATAGTTTGACAGCATACATGCTACTGCAAACAGTTGGTTGATGTTGTAGGCATGGAACAGGAGGATGACACCATCAAAAAGCTTGTTCTCTTTTATCCTCCTAATGACACGCTCCACATGAACCCTCAGTCTGGCAATGGCCTGTGTCTCCCTCACCTGATAGGCTGGCATTTGCTTCTGCTGTGACAGAAAAGGTGGGCAGTACACCTTGCATTTGCAGCAATCGCTGATCAGGAAGCCCTTATCTACCATCACTGCCATGTTTTCAGTCAACAACGCAGCTATTCCAGATTGTTTGAAAATCTCCTTGTCGCTGACAGAACCACCATACAGACTGGAAACAAATGTCACTGCGCCATGTGGGGCTATGCCAACCAGGGCTTTCATGGTGCAGTGAGATTTGTATGTAGAATACATTTCACTTTGGAGGAGGAGTGAGGATGGTGTTTGACACCTCAGCTCTGTGCAATCCAGGATCACCTGTGTGTCTGGGAAATCTTTGAATGCCTCTGGGAGGTGGGCTTGAACTTCTGCAGGTGAAAGCCAGATGCACTGTGACCCCAATAAAGTTGTAAGAAAACTTGTCCATGTTGCAATGATGCGGCTCACAGTGGACTGGTGTACGTTGAAGCGGTTTGCAAGGTCCCTCTCTTTCAAACCCACCGACAGGAAGCATAGAAAAAGAAAGAACTCGTCAATTGGCTGAAGCAGCTGTCTTTGGAAGATAAAAACAAAAAAAGGTTACTATATTAATGTCATGAGTGTAGCACACTGGGAAAAACATGAAGTTGTTTTAGTTCTCTGATGTATTCAAAAAGGATTGAGTACTTTAGCCTTTTAGCCTACACAAAAGCAATGAAATGTCGGAGAAACATTTTCCCTTCAGTTTGTGTTTAGATTGTGTGTTAAAAGAAACGTAGCCTACCGTTGATGGACGTGCGTGTGTAACCACTTCTTCATTCCTCTTGGCAGCTGATATCGCTCTTGTAACACGAACCATTTTATGAATTGAAGGCTCAATCAAAGACCAGAAGGCCATCAGGTGGTTATAGCTCGGGAATCTGTTCACAAAAGACACATGTCAGTCATTAATTGACAGTAAATACAATCGTGTTAACTGTAACACATGGGCTAATGTTTTCCTCTTGTTTGCTATAATACATTACAATTCAAACTGATTAAGAAGGCACTTGGTGCAGGTATAGTAATCTACAGCAGTAAAATGTAACAACTACATTAAAGCAGCAGTAATAATAATCTAAAACATACAGGGAACATTTTACACACAATGACTACTTTTACTCTTCATTCTTAAGTGTGCAACTGGGGGAAACGCAGTGGATATTGACATACTTTTACTTTGGTAAGGTTTTGAAGATTTCCACTTGTAGTAAAGTATTATCAGTATGTTGTTAGTATTAGTATGTTTTACTCCACCACATTTAGTTAACCTTCATAGTTTCTAGTTACTTTTTATATATGAAAACACATGATTTATGATTCTACATGTTCAGTTCAGGAGTATTTTAAAACCATAGTATTTGTACTTATACTTCAGTTAAGTTGACAAAAAACACACTGGACGCTGCACTAGGTCAGAAACCAGAGGAGACTGAACTCCACCACAGACGGACCACTTTTGGTCAAAATGTCCTCTCCGTTAACACAGGGGTATCTCCTCTTGCACTTTATCTAGCACTTTTATCTTCTCTTGCACTTTATATGTCGTAGCTGCTATATTGTACTGCCATGTGGTAAATACTTGTGTATGCTGCTCTTGCTCTTTTGCACTTTTTGCATATCATGTATTTTGTTTTTACCATGTTTGTAAAATGTAATTTTCTTAAATGTTTAATGTGAGGGACTGCGGATGGAAACTAGCTCAAAGCTAAATCTGGCACTGTTACGCTTGATACATTTTAATGTTGTAAGTGTTCATTACTGTGCATTGTCCCTGCCAAATAAACGATTAAATAAATAAAATATCCCAACACTGCATGCATATAGTCAGCGGTCACACGGCAGGTAAACAGGATTCTTTATAAGCTAACCCATCTCAAAAACTTGGATAGAATTGAGACAAAACATTACCTGGTATAGAATCGGATGTTGTCGTCGGAGCCAGCAAACCGCTGTAAGCAAAACTCTCGCTGGACTCTTAACTCCTGCAGTTGCTTCTGCAGATCCTCCACTGTTTTGGAGTTGTCTTCTGTAGCTTGAGAGGACATGTCCAGTGAAGCTGGTTCAGGGGTTGAGCAGTAATCATGGTCACGGACATCGATGTGCTCTTCCTGCTCCTCCCGAGAGACTGGTTCAGTGGGCCGCTCCCTTCTCTCCCAAACACTAGCCCGCTGTGTTTGAGCAGTAAAGTGATTCCACTCAAACAGAGTTGGTACAGCACCTTTCACAAGCCTCCTACGGCCATCAAGGGTTTTTGGCTCTATTAGTTGATCCGTAGCGAAGTGACGACTGCAGACCTTGGAGTGAGAGGATATTGTAAAGTTATCGCGCCGTATTTTTACCAGCCACTGTCTTCGCAGCTCGAGTTCGGTCGGAAAGCCATGGAAACTTAGGACGCCGTTGAATTTAGCTGACGCCGTACAAAGTGGGACACAGCAGTGCTCGGAGTAGTTATTCACTTGTCTTTGCAAATGTTCCGTTTTGAAAATCTTCCGTCGACTCATATTTAAACCATAGATTTAAACAGTAAAACCTTTGTGGACGATCTCCCGCTCAGCTACGCAGACCGGAAGTAAACCGGAAGCAGCCGAGCAGTATTACGGCTAAGGCGGAAGTACGTCTCAGACCCTAGTGCATGTAGCCTATTACTTACAATAAGGCAATTGTTTTTTGTATTACAAGTTTTCTGAAAATAGCATGTTTAAATATGCAAATTAACCATTATCTCATGAAATATGCGCATATTTTAAAGGGCCCATGTCATGGCCATTTCCACTGATCATAATTACATTGTTGAGGTATACTAAAATAGATTTATACTGTGCAATTTTCCAAACTCACATTGGTTTCGCATACAGCATCTCTGTCAAGCATGTGTATTCAGCAGTATTCACTTTCTCCACTAAACGACTCGTTGGAGCTCTTGCCCCCCCCTCCCTGTGAGCCTAGTGTGCTCCGATTGGTCAGCTCGGCCACTCGTTCTGATTAGTCAACCACCAGAGAGGCTGCGCCCATGTCAGTGCTTTTCCCGGCTGCTCTCAGCGTAACATCAGTCTTATCATGGCGTCGGTACAGCGGTATATTTTATATACATATATATTTTTAACTGTTGTTATAGAAGAGTGTGACGGCCCCAGGGCCTTTGTCTTACGATGGGGTGGAGCTGAAGAGGCTAATCAGCACGATCACGGACACCTCCGGACACAGTCTCTCTCCAAAGCGGCTGCAGGAAGACTAACTCTGCGATCCTCTCAACCACCTATCTCTGCATTTACCACAATAAATGTGCCGTGGTTTTGTAAACTCGTGTATGTCTCCTTGTCTTTCCGTTGTGGCCTACGAGCTACTCTCATAACAAAGAGTAAGTTATTTTTACCCGTTATAAACTACTACTGTTTGATGAGAAATCAAATCATGGTTTGCTATATATGAATTCAGGGAAGAAAGGATAGGCCTACTAAGTATTTCCATTAAACTTTATTTTTAGAAATGTACAAAATGAACATAAATATACATATATACACACGGTATATCATTCATTCCTCCTCCTCCCATCTTGCCTGCGCACAGTCGGTGCGGTGCCTTTTATCACGAGGCCTCAGTAGTAGTCGAAGTCCCTTCCCCGTCATGGATTGTCCGCCAGGATCTGGCTGGACGAAATCAAATGCAAATCACAAAATATTAGAGAAACTTAGTTGTTTTAGATTCGTTAGTAGTAGTTGTGTAATGAACAGCTTGCCTGCTAATATGCTAACCTAGCTTTGTTTACCTTGGTAGCTAACACGATATGAACGTTAGCTTGGAGGAAAGGCAACTATAATGCAGTGTAATAAAACTACTATGAACAAAAGCTAGTGGTTCATATTAGGCTAGCAATAACGTGTTTATAATTGCAATCGTATACGGGTATTCTGCTACCATACAATGTAACTTGCATGAATACATTGTTTTGCGCTAGCATACAGCTAGCCTCGTTAGCTACATGCAGTATATGTACGGTCACAATGTACGGTAAATCACAGTACAGTATACTGTATGAGTATTCCGTGTGTGTGACTGCAGACATTCTCCTGCCATGACAAACATGTAAGGCCATCTGCTGACATTGTAGTTGATATATTTAAACGCTAGCAACGTAGCATCACAAAAATGTTTTTCCGACCAAAACTAGCTCTAGCTCCGTGTGTTAGATCGCTACGCCAGCTATAATGTAATTACGTTTCGCGACTGACCGGCAAATCACCCGGAGTATACTGTCAATAGGTATTTTGTGTGTGAATGCAGACATTCTCCTGCTATGAGATACATGTATGCAAGGCCATCTGCTGATATTAGAGTTGATATATGGAAACTCTAGCAACTTAGTTAGCACAGTTAGCACTGTGTCAATGGCTTAGCAGTCCAACACAGTTTACACATTTAAACAGTCTTGTTTGATAAATACACAAATAACAATGCAAACTTACAGGTTGTATACCCAGATCTTCCCCTGCTCCAAACGGTCCAAACAAGCTGTGCATATCCGGCCTCAAACTGGGCAATGTTTTGGAAGCTTTCGTCTGTGAAATGCCGGTTCTTCGAACCTCTGGAGGAGGAACACGCCGCTGCTGGTGTGGCCATAGCTCTTCGGGATTGGTCCATTTCGTTCCGGGTACCGCATGACATCAGGCGGTACCCGGAAGAATCAAATGGGCAGTGACGTATCTCCAACGAGGCGTTTTGGGGAGGTATTTTCTGTGTTAGAGTTTTACTCGCTACAGGGTGTACTTTGAGGGTTTTGACTCTGCACACCGTTTACATGCATAAAAACCTTCATAACACACAAGGGGACGGGTAATAACCGGAAAAGCATGACATGGGAGCTTTAACACATTTCAGGAACCGAAATCTGAACTTTGGATAAAGCCAGGATCAAAATTATTGTTTCATTTTGTAGTCATATTAGTATCTAAGGCTTTTACAGAAGGGATTTTGGATATCTCTTTGTATCACTCCATAAATCAGAAAACACTGTCAACAGCCCTAAAATATCAATTTTCACCATGTTTTTAGGTATAAAATGTTATATAATTCAGGCTATGAATTATATATGACCAAACCCTTCTGTAAAAGCCTTCATAATTTTGATAGGAATATAACTGGAAGGTTTGGTGTATGTAACTGCTACTGAAGTGAACATTTCGAACTCAGAGTAGGAGAAAAAACTCATTTTGAGAAAACGACCTTTAAAGATTGCAGTGTGACGCTAGCTAAACCCTCCTGTTATCTGGATGATAGCTTGCGCATCGACGCACTCCGTGAAGGTATTTCATGTTCGGGGTCATTTGTTTTTTGTCTAACCTTGTTTGTGCAAGTGACAATTGTTGTCGTCTTCTCTGTGAACGTTTTTTTTCTCCGTTATTTTGCCATTTTCAGATTTAAATTTCTAGCGGAAAGCTAACCAGGAAGTGCTTTAGCACACCACGTGACGCATCTGAATGAATCACGTTGTCAGAAATTGACACCAGCCAATGAGATTTCGTTTCTTGGTTTAAGACCCCTTTGCACTTTCACGATTGGTTGCTGATACAAAGGAAATGACCATATTTGGATCCGATGAGATTGTGCAGGAGAAACGGAGCTTTCCAACGATACCTCTGAAGACATGGTGCAAACAGCGGTCGCGGTACTTTATGTTACGTTAGAATGCTAACTTTTGGTGAATGTAGGAGAAATCTACAGACGCAAATAGACAAACTATAGTAAAATAAACACTTAAATGTGTATTTTGTACGTTTTCCTTCCAAAAGCCTGAAAGAAAACATGTTATGGAATCAAAATAGCACAAAATCTCAAAATTGACCAGTGCAGGAAAAACGATGTTTTTGCCTGCCGTGTCTCGCCTTAAATGTTTTTCAACTTGCTGTGTTGTTTTTTTACATTTAAATTTTTCATGTTGAGTTTTATATTTTATGCATATTGTAAATAGTTTTCATTCATATGTACATCATAAGTACTTTTCCCAGGAATAGTTCCCGGAACTCAGTTCCCCGGAACTTTTATTTCCTGGAACTATCTAGTAAATCGCGTTCACACCAGAATAAGTCCCTGAGGGAGCCGCTGACGTCTCTTCTTCTTCTTCTTCTTCTTCTTCTTCTTCTTCTTCTTCTTCTTCTTCTTCTTCTTCTTCTTCTTCTTCTTCTTCTTCTTCTTCTTCTTCTTCTTCTTCTTCTTCTTCTTCTTCTTCTTCTTCTTCTTCTTCTTCTTCTTCTTCTTCTGCTTTGGGTTTACTGGCAGGCCGCAAACAACTTCACGGCGTATACTGCCACCCGAAGTCCCCGGCCGGAAGTAGAAGGTGCTGGGAAGGCTCCCAGCAGCTTCTACTGAAGCCTTCCGAGTAAATCGCCAGAAGCGCCGACACCTCCTCCCCAGCTAGACATTTTTGGTTCTAAAAACATTCTGAGAACGTTACCATTCACTGTTCTAGGAATGTTTTCAGCGGGAAGTTTTCTTTTGGTTCCCAGAATGTTCTTCTGAAAGGTAGCATAACGTTCTCAAAAAACATTCTTAAAATGTTTGGTGATAACCTTCTTAAGATGTTTTTGATAACATTGTTAGAACATTATACCCTACTGTTCTTAAAACGTTTTCAGCGGGACGTTTTATTTTGGTTCCCAGAATGTTCTTCTGAAAGGTAAGATAACGTTCTCTAAAAACATTCTTAAAATGCTTGATAATAACCTTTTTAAAATGTTTTTGATAACATTGTTAGAACATTATGCCCTACTATTCTTAAAACGTTTTCAGCTGCAAGTTAGATTTTTTATGTTGCCAGAATGTTATTATTTTAGAGTAGGATAACGTGCTTTATCGTTCCGATTTATCAGAAGTCTTTTCTTTTCTTTTTTAAATGCGACCAGCAGCTAGTACAAGTCACTGTCGGTGTCACATGTACTGGAGGGGACCCAGAATCAGACTCGGAATCAGCTGGTGAAAGTAACATTTGTTTATTAGAAAAGGGGAGCTGGGAGTGGAGGATGGTTATGGCGGCAGTGGAAAACAGTTGTTTCAGGGTGGGTAGAGAGGCCTGGCTGGTCTTGGGAGTGTGGAAGGCCTTGGATTCCTCCTGGGAGAGACATACAAATGAATGTGAGGCAAAAGCAGGCAAAATTGTCAAAGAATATGCTGGCAAAAAGCTAGAGCGGCACGCAACAAACCGTTCACGGCAACAATCCGGCAGGGAATGAGTGCAGGCTGCAGGCTTTCATAGTGTGGCTGATGAGCAGGTTGCAGGTGTGGTTGATTGGAGATTTCTCCCAGCCGTGTAGAGCAGACCAGCAGGCAGGGGGGGGGGGGGAGAGAGAGAGACGCACAGTAGAAACAAACACATACAAACACTAACAGGGGTTTCAGGGACGGGCAGTGACAGTCGGTCCGTTCTTCTATATGTCTGTCGGTCTCAAATCTAAAGGGTGCAATAACGATTTTTATCCAATATGCGTAAACAGCGGACACTGTTTATACGCAGCCCTCACAAACCACACACGGCCAGATAGCTTATCTAACAGTTAGAACCTACATACGAGACACAACCTATATAGTCAGAAAAAAGTGTGATTATTTTCTGATATTTTACACATGATATTATGAATACTGTGGGCCTACATACCTTAGTGTGATTATAAGTGCATGTGAGTGAATATTGGCATGCAAATTCGTTTTATACGTCCTATTCATTGTCTCAATGCACTCATACATCTTAAGAAAGTTATCACCAAAAATGTTAAGAATGTTTTTAGGGAACGTTATCCTACCTTTCAGAAGAACATTCTAAGAACCAAAATAAAACGTCCCGCTGAAAACGTTTTAAGAACAGTAGGGCATAATGTTCTAACAATGTTATCAAAAACATCTTAAAGGTCCCATGTCATGGCCATTTCTACTGATCATAATTCCGTTGTTGAGGTCTACTGGAATAGATTTATATTGTGCAATTTTCCAAACTCACATTGGTTTCTCATACAGCATCTCTGTATAGTATGTGTATTCACTCTCTGTCCTAAACGGCTTGTTGGAGCTCCTGTGCAGCGCGTGTGTCTGATGGACAGATGGATGAGCAGGCTACACCCTGCAGTTCGCCCCCCCCCCCCCCCACAGTTCAATGGGATACAGGAAACACTCCTGTCATCCCAGGAACAGTGTCTTGCGCTCCAGGCAGAGCTGCGGGAACTCCTGTTGAAAGAGGCTATTTCCAGGGTTCCTCAAGGGGAAGAAAATCAGGGGTATTACTCCCGCTATTTTCTTGTCCCGAAAAAGACAGGGGGAATGAGACCCATCCTCGATCTGTCAGTTTTCAACAAGGTCATAATGAAAAGGCCTTTTCACATGCTGACGATCAGACAGGTGCTGGAGTGTGTTCACCAGGGAGACTGGTTCACATCGATAGACCTGAAGGATGCATACCTCCACGTAGCCATCATCCCAAAACACAGGAAATACCTGCGTTTCTCATTCCAGGGAATATCGTACCAGTACAACCGTCTGCTGTTCGGATATTCTCTGGCTCCTCGCACTTTTTCGAAGTGTGTAGAGACGGCGCTGCAGCCGCTACACAGAGGAGGGATGAGAGTGCTGTTTTACCTGGACGACCTGCTATTGCTGGCTCACTCCAGAGAGGAAGTTACTTTACAGACGGTACAGCTCGTATCACATCTGTCAAAGCTGGGTTTCATAATAAACTGGAAGAAGAGCTGCCCTCTTCCCTCCCAGAGTATTATTTACCTGGGTGTGGAATTGAACTCAGCCCGCATGAGAGCGCGACTCTCACAGCAGAGAGTGGAGGCACTGACAGCTCTTCTCCGACGCGTCACACCTCGCAGCGTGGTGACAGCCCTCTCCGTGATGCAGCTGCTTGGCATGATGGCAGCTGGTCACGTGGTGATTCCCCTGGGTCTCCTTCACATGAGGAGACTCCAGAGGTGGTTTATTCGCCTGCGCATCGACCCCGTGCGACAGAAGAGGCGCATGGTGGCCATCCCTCCTTCCGTGGGTTCAGACTTAACCTATTGGAAAAGTCCCCACGTCCTGTCAGCGGGTGTGCCCCTGGGCAGAGTTCCGTCACACATCTCGGTGTTCACAGACGCATCTCTCTCAGGGTGGGGATGAACGTGCATGTCACAGGCAGTGGGGGGACAGTGGCCGGCTCACATGTCCCTCCACATAAACGTGCTGGAATTGCTCTCCGTACAGAGAGTAATCCAGTATTTTGCCCCGTTGCTGCGGAATCAGCATGTGTTGATTCGCACAGACAACAAAGCCGCGGCAGCCTACATCAATCGCCAGGGCGGAGTACGCTCAGCGCAGCTTTTGAACACAGCCAGGCCGCTGTTGATCTGGGCGCGCGCACACTTGCTCTCCATCAGAGCAATGTATGTTCCCGGCGAACTGAACAATGGGGCAGACCTCATGTCCAGAGGAGGTCCTCGCCAGGGGGACTGGAGCCTCCATCCCGAGCTGGTCTCCCAGGTATGGAGCAGGTTCGGGAGAGCAGAGGTGGATCTGTTCGCCGCACGCGGGAACGCGCAATGTGCCCTCTGGTTCTCCCTGAAAGCGCAGGACCCCCCCCCCCCCCCCTGGGGGTGGACGCGTTCGCACATCGACCATGGCCCAGGGGACTGTTGTACGCTTTCCCACCAGTCCCGCTGATTCCTCGGTTCCTGGACCGAGTGCAGGAGGAGCGACTGTCAGTGATCCTAATTGCCCCGGAGCGCACGGGCGCTTCCTGGTTTCCATGCCTACAGCGTACGCTGTCAGGCAGACCGTGGGAAATTCCGTGGCGCGGGGACGCTCTCTCGCAGGTGGAGGGAGCGATCAACAGTCACCCTGTGATAGGCCAGCACTTATGGGCATGGCCCCTGAACGGGAACACTTAGAGGGGCTGGGCCTCTCTCAAGATGTTGTACGGACCATTCAGGGAGCCAGGGCCGCGTCTACCAGAGCGTCCTACACAGCCAAGTGGACAGCTTTCCAGCGTTGGTGTGTAGAAAAAAGCCTGGACCCCATTACGTGCCCCCTGCCTCACGTGCTGTCATTCCTCCAGCTGTTGTTGGACAGGAATTTGGCTTTCAACACAATCAAGGTCTATGCTGCTGCCATATCATCTTGTCATGTGGGTTTCGGGGTCGGGACGGTGTTTAGTCACCCCCTGACGAAACGTTTTCTGCGAGGAGTACGGAGACTCAGACCTGTGTCACGCGCACTAGCGCCTCAGTGGGATTTGGCTTTGGTGTTACGCGCACTAAGCAAAGCCCCATTTGAACCTTTAGATCAGGTTCCCCTTAAGATGTTATCAGCCAAAGTAGTACTACTTTTGGCTCTAACATCAGCAAAAAGGGTGAGTGATTTGTCTGCTCTCTCTGTGGCTCCGTCATGCCTCCGGATCCAAGGAGATGGCAGTTCAGCTGTTTTACGCCCTAACCCGGCTTTTATGCCAAAGGTCATCACAAGCTCTTTTAGGTCAAGAGTGATCACCCTGGATGGCTTCTTTCCCCCTCCTCACAGGTCGGAGGAAGAAGCCACGTCTCATCTCCTCTGTCCTGTGCGCGCGCTGTCCTGCTACACTGGCTGTGTGAGGCTGTGTCACAGGCATATGTCTCCTCTGGGGTGGATCCCCCGGAGAACATCAATGCGCACTCCACCAGAGGAATTTCCTCCTCCACGGCTTTGCACGGAGGAATGTCAGTGGAAGACATTTGCACTGCTGCATCTTGGTCTTCTCCCTGTTCATTTAATCAATTTTATTTGAGGGATGTCTCCCATTCCTCTCTGACACACCCTGTGCTGAGTGTCCTGTCAGAGTGAGTGACGTCAGGGATCCAGCTGTGCGCCGCTCTCCTGCCTCGGCACACGGAGAGTGGCCTGTATTTCCCTCTTATGAGAGGGACGTCCCCCTTTTTCCCCTGACACATTTCGTACGGAATGTCTTGTCAGAGTGAGTGATGTTGGGGACCCAGCTGTGCGCTCTCCTGCCTGTCTGCATGCAGAGAGCTGCTATTCCCCCTCCTTTCTGTCACTGGGCAAAGTGTGACCTTCGTCTCTACTTTCTCACAGCGGCAGGTATGTATTATTCCCAGCCTTCGTCCCCTCATGGTAAATATTCATGTTATGCTATATTCCAGGGACTGTGATGCGCCATTCGCATGGCGCAATAGGCATGGGTTATTATCTGAGCAGGTGTGTCTGTGCTTCTTGTACCGGGGGGACCCAGTGGGGCGCAGACTACATCTTGCTTCGCCCTTAACCCAATAGCGATAGCCTTAGAGGGCGAAGCCATATACGAAATAGAACTGAAGTTACCTACTGTAACTCCAGCTTCTATGAGTATTGGCGTAGCCCTCTAAGTGCTGGGCCCCACTGGCTCCACGAATAGCTGAAGAAAAGTTGTTTTGTGTGGGAGCAGATTGTCGGGCCTCCTTCCTATTTATATCGGAAGGGAGCCCGAGGGTGGGGCCCACCTTGCGAGCGGGCGTGGACTACAAGTGTTTCAGTGCTGCGCGGGTGCGCAGGGGGATTACCCAATAGCGATAGCCTTAGAGGGCGAAGCCAATACTCATAGAAGCTGGAGTTACAGTAGGTAACTTCAGATCTCATTGTTGTTGACCTGTATAACAATAGCCGCGTTCACACCAAGTACTTTCCTGTACTTAGTTCCGGCACTAAGAGCCCCGGCGCTTTTAACCCCAGGGCACTTAGTACAGATCGCGTTCACACCGGAGTACTTTTCCCTGAGGGAAGATTACGCAAATGAGCCGCTGACGTCACTTCTTCTTCTGCTTTGGCTTTACTGGCAGGCCACAAACCACTTCACGGCGAGTACAGTAGGTGGCGGTATGCACCTTAAAGTTGTTTGCAATCCGCTGCAAAACAAGAGAAGAAGAAGAAGAAAAACTTCCCGCGTATACTGCGACGCCCACCCACTCGCTGTACATTAGGCGTCTGTTGTTTACCTTCCGACCTCAGACATGATGGAGTCGACTGAAGTTGTGCTGTTTGTGCTCATGTTATACAGCTTTGTAACTGAGTTAATGCAGCCTGAGCAACTTGCGTACAATAACAAAACAAGCCGAGCACGACTGGTGGTGGAGAACGCTTTTGGCAGACTGAAGGGCAGGTGGCGGTGCTTGATGAAAAGAAACGACTGCAAGATGGACAAGATCAAAATCCAGGTGGCAGCATGTTGCATATTACATAACCTTTGTGAAAGTAATGATGATGAGTACAGGGACGAATGGACTGCCTTACCGGCGACCCAGCTTTATGAGGCATCTGAACAGCGTGTAAATTGTAAACATTTTGACAATAAAGCTGATCTTTTGTACAGTGCTTTTGTTTCTCTTTTATTTTCCAGTCAAGACAGGCAACATTACAATAGTGTACAGTGTGGCAATATAATAACAATAAACTGTGCCAGGTGTGTTGTATGCACAGTAAATAGGCTCAGCAGCAAACCCACCGTTATTATTTATTATATATCTTCCTGAGACCCACTGCATCCGTCTGCCATAAACACTATGGAAACCTACATGTTAATTTTGTGTTGTGTAAAATGGGGGGGGGAATTAAAAGTTTGCAAATCCCCATGTCCTCCTCAGAGGACAATCATAAAAACATTTAGTTTTAGGTCAAATAATATTTAAAATTATATAAATTGTCATATTTGTGTATGTGCCCCTGCCATTCCTCCACACGGTTGCAACATTGATGATAAATGACAAATAAAGCTTTGCCAGTTTATAACCGATGAAACATGATGGTATCAGAATAATCACTTACATGTGATGTATAGGATGCTACACAGGTCACTAAAGATAAAGTGTCAGGAGAAATAAGCAAGATACAGGATCTGTTTAACAGTAAATAGAAGTTCACATTTTTAATGTAAATAAAATAGAAGTTGTACATGTAAATTAACATTATCAATATAAAATAAAGTGTCAGTTGTATCAAGACTATATAATAACAGTAATAACAATAATATAAAATGAACTGGTGAGCATCTTGTCCTCCGTTTCCTGGGCCTTGGTGAACAGCACCATCTGATCCCCGTGCATCGACTCTTTCACCACGGCACGCCGGTCCTCCAACGCCTGGACGGTGTCAAAGAAATTCGCACGGAATGTCGCATCCCGTGTCCGCTTTCCTAAGAGGGGAAAATAAGCAAGATACAAGATCTGTTTAGTCGCCATGTAGTTTTACAACATACTAGGAATGTTTTTTTGGTATTTTCACAAATAGAATTAAGGTTTCACAAATCTGAAACTGTGTTATAAAGAATCTTTTGACTCTCTGGGATAATCCAGTCCAGATTTGATGAGTCTAGGTATAGTGATTTTAGATCAGGACCTGGTCTAATGTGGTCTACATGTAAAAAAAGCACTGAAATCTCCCTTTTTTGTATTTTCACAAATAGAATTAAGGTTTCACAAATCTGAAACTGTGTTATAAAGAATGTTTAGACCCTCTGGGATAATCCAGTCCAGATTTGATGAGTCTAGGTATAGTGGTTTTAGATCAGGACCTGGTCTAATGTGGCCAGGATGCAAAAAAGCACTAAAATCTCTCTTTTTTGTATTTTCACAAATAGAATTAAAGGTTTCACAAATCTGAAACTGTGTTATAAAGAATGGTTGGCCTCTCTGGGATAATCCAGTCCAAATAAATCGGCTATGCAGCGATTTAAGAGGTTCAAACACGGAGGATTGTTCCTTTTTGAAGAGTGCTTCATGTATGCTTGAACTTTGTTTAATGTTGTTGAGGCAAGTTTTCTTACCGGAAGTCATGTGACCTCTAGCCCGGATGTTTACAATGTTTGTGAGAGAGTAAAAAGGCGCGAACATTTGTAAATGCCGGTCTAGGCGAATACGTTTTCACGCTGTTTCATAATTGTACCAAGAAGGAAATAAACATGATTGTGAACATCAGTTCGATGCGTAACGTTCTTTCAAGACAAAGTTACAGTGTGTGTACCTTTGCGTTTGGTTGCTGGTAAGGAGGACGACAAAGCGCTGTGATCTAGAATGCAAAGCTCGCTTGTTTCCAATCCCGAGAGTTGTCCATCCTCGCCTGAAACAGACGATTAGTGCCATGAGTTAGTGAAGCAAATTACAGAAACACTGCACAGTTATTCACAAGTCAAAACGTTTTCATAGCGGCCGAGAATATCTAGCTAGCTAGATGTAGCTAGCTCGGGGCCGGTGTTAGCCTATTCAGCCTAGCATGGCTAGCTTGATCTACTGAGCAAATAAAAGTACATCTGAGACCATTATTGTGCAGATTAAAACCCCAGTGCATGTAGTTGATTTTACCTTCGTCGTGGTCGTCATCGTTGGCCACTGAATCCGCCGTTTGTAGTCCTGCCTGAGTTTCTTTATTTTTAGCCGGTGTGCCGTGGGGCTGTGCACGATTCCCAGGTCGAGTGAAAGCTACTGAACTGGCTTCAGTAGCATTCCCTGGGTCGCGTCCTCGGCGTAGATCTCTAGAAGCGCCGACACCTCCTCATCATTTATTGATGCTTGCCATAACTGCTTTCAAAAACAAACTATTCTCCGTCGATGCGCTGAGTTTTTGTAGCGAGGAAAAACAATGGCGGCTCTTCACAACATTTTCACAGTAGCACGGGGCGTGGTTTGCAATTCGCCCAGCCAATCAGCACTGGGGCACTTTTTACCCACAGGAAAGTACGATCTCTCAGCAGGCACTAAAAATGGGGGTAAAAGTTCCCGAGATTAAGTACGATTTTTGGTGTGAACGCGACATAAGGGGTACTAACGGAACTAAACGCGAAAAGTACGGTGAAAAGTACTCCGGTGTGAACGCGGCTAATACATGTTAGTTTACAAGAGGTCATTGATACCCTAACATTTGATTCATACTAGCTGATAACAAATAAATCCTGGGATCTACAAAAGTGAATGTGTTCCATGCATCTGATTTGTATCCACTTCAGCTTTTTTACCTGTGCTTACCTTAGTTTATGTTGTTGCTGTTGCCATCATTTAGAAAGGTAAAAGTTTAGGAATACAGAGCAGTTCTTATCATGCCATAACCATAGCCGTGGAGGTAGTGCTAACTAAAATATAATATTGGTGACAAAAAACACACAGGGCCATCAGTGCAATTGTTATATTCTAATTTCTCTGATATTATAGGCGTTAATTACCTATTTATTATATGTAAATAGTTTTGTGTACATAATTGTGTTTATAATTGTACATAATTTAACTGTAACACTATGGTGTTTTCAATTGAATGCACTTTATACAATAAAGTGGTCAGTGCTACAGTAACAGTGAGTCGTGAAATATGAATTATTAAATGCAATAATGGGGATTCATTTGTTTAGCTAAATATAGGGACAAGGGTAGAGTGCCACATTACTTGCATGAAAGGACACAGTCCACAACGTTCAGATGACTTTGCCCAAAAGCAAACATTTAAGTTGCTTGAGTCAGACTCAGAAATATTAAACCACTTTTAAAATCAGACTCAACAGTCATAAGGAAATCCATAAAGATATGTCACTGAAGAAAAGACACGTTTATTTGAATGAAAAAGCTTTATTTCAATGGAAACAATAAGTACATTAATGAATAAATATCATGAATTATGTAGAACTTATTTATACAAATACACATAGATACATATAATACAAAAGTCTGTGACATTTAAAATGTCATTAGGGAAGAAAGAATTCTCACATCTGATTGGAAGAAAAAAAACACTACAGTAATGGGAATAAAACACAACAATGATATACTTTTAAAAATAATAGTTGATATTGTGCTGTTATAGCAGCATTATATCATAATAAATATAGCACATTTTAAATGTCCAATTTCACACATATTGAATGCATACATATTGTTAATGCTCATCAACAAGTATGAAGTCATTGTGATGCATAAAATGACATTTTCACTTTCACACTAAATATATGGAATACAAGCTCAATTAATAATGAGAGAAAACAGTAATGCTATCAATTAAATGTAAGGTGCTCACTTATTAATACATTTGGTGAAAATAGACCTAGTATATTTATAACTATATAAACTGATTGATTGACAACAACATGAAGGTGTTCACATCACACTTTGACCACATGAGGGAGCTAATATCCTCATTGCCATTCTGTCAATATGTAAATGATCCGTGGTTATGTAGGTCAGTGAGTCAAAGTGTCATTTTGTTTCTAAAGATTTGGGCCAATGTCGTCACTTACAATTGCACTTCGATAAGGCCGATCGCCAAAGGCAGTTAGCATTTCAGCAGAAGTGCAAAACAAGTTATGAGTTATTCATGCTTTCATATAAATATATATACATGTGACGGATATAAACAAACTGATGTATTTTTACACGACAGTATAAGAAGTTATAAACATGATTAACAGCAGTAAAGTATTTGAATACAATATAGATAAAGTATAAAAATATACATTATAATACAGACACTATCGACAATAAATATGAATATACCGCAGACCGTTATTGACATTTTAAATAATATGAGGTCAAATTCAGTCAGTCTGGGTTTCCAGGGGGGTGTGCGTGTGTGTGTGTGTGTGTGTGTGTGTGTGTGTGTGTGTGTGTGTGTGTGTGTGTGTGTGTGTGTGCGTGCGTGCGTGCGTGCGTGTGTGTGTGTGTGTGTGTGCGGGGGTCAGCTGTCATTGTTCAGAGTTCAGCCAGGTGATAGCTGAGGGGAAGAAGCTGGTCCTGGTGCCGAGTTTCCTGTAGCAACCATCATACATTAGAGCAGTGGTTCCCAGCGGGGGATACAGGGAATGGATACATAGAAAGATTAGGGATTGCAATTTATTTCTATACAAGTGGTTTTCATCTAAGGAGCCGTTGGGTGTAGGCGAATAATCACAGATGAGTGAGGGGGTTCTTATAGAATGGAGACCACTCAAGGGAAACACAAGACCAAAAGGTTTGGGAACCACAGCATTACAGGACTTCTTCTTCTGAAGTGATGGAGCTATGAGCCCCCGCCTGCTGCTTTCTGTCCCGCAGGTTACTCCCCCCTGCACCTGGCGGCCGGGTGGGGTCACCTGGAGACGGTGAGGACTCTGCTGGAGTTTGTAGCTGATTCCCAGGTGGAGACCTTCAGGGGGGAGCGGCCCCTGGACCTGGCCCGGAGATACTCCTGGACCGACTGTGCTGACTGTCTAAGCCTGGCCGGTGAGTGCCCCTCATGTTATGGCACTTCTTATACCCCATTCACACCAACGGTGTTTCAGGGCCGATTCGGAGCTGGAGCTTGAAAAGCACCGGTTTTCCCTGTTCACACCGCAGAGGAGCAGCCTCTAAGCTCCGGAATCCGGTTCGTTTCGAGCACCAAAAAGTTGTCCGTCTAGAAGCAAGAACCGCATACGTCACGCTTACGTCGGAGGGGGGCGCGATTAACCTGAGCTAACAGTTAAGGCGAGTACGGCAAATAAAAGTTGTAACCAGCAGTAGTGCTGAGCAAAGTGACTAGAACGCAACCACACACTTGTAAAAAAAAACACGCTTTATAAAGTCAGGCAACACTAACCAGGCTTCGTGTGATTCTGTTTATTTGTACCTTACTTTGACCATCCGTTCGCTGTTATTGATCATTGTGGAGAGCAGGCAGACGTTTTGTTTGTTATTATAGCAGCTATCGGATGGAATCAATACATGGGCTGCACAGGTTGTCATGTCCGACTATCACAAGTAGAATCATAATGAAAAATACGCCGGTAAAAAGTGCCTGTAGAAAACGGCTTAGCAATTAGTCAGTTTAGCTTCGGTTGCTATGTTAACATCACCCATGTTATACCAGAGAAACATTCATAACAGCGTTGTGATGCCAAACAGCGTCAATTCAGACTGACACACATTCACTTAAGGGGAACTGGGGATATGTATCAGCTGCTTGTGTGACAGTCAGACAGTGAATACTTTAGAGCCGTGTGAGCTAACCCGGAGCTAACGGGAGAATAAACTCCCGTGGAAGAGCAGCCAGCACTGCAGCGGTCGGTAAATGCCGCTGAAACACATTAATAAACAATGAACCACGGCACTCTGGAGAAAAGTATAAGGTTGGAGAAGTCGTTATTTAATTTAATCTGGCTTCGTATGATTAAAAGCAACACGATCATCGACCCGATGCAGTCCCCGGCCCGTTGTTGTTGTGAGGTGAGCTCCGTTGGGGAGAAACTCAGCGATGTAAACTGTGACGTCATGACGCAGCAGCGGCAGCACCAGTCGGGCTCTGAGCGGTGTGAAAAGAGCCGGCGCTAAACCGAAGAACCGGTTCTGAACCAGAAAAGCTCTAGCACGGAGCTAGAACGGGAAAAGCCTTGGTGTGAAAGGGGTATAACATCAGTACATATGTTAATCATTCCCAGTGGTTGTCACAGTCTGCTCCCTCACTCATCTATTTTCTACACTAGTATTTCTCACCTTAGTCACTGGTAGCAACACCCTGTTTCTCTCTCACTCTCTGTTGCACCCTTCAGCTCCACTAGTATATAGGCCCCCTTCACTCTCTCCTCAGTGCCAGATCGTACTTTGCAACATGCTAGTCTTTCCCGCGTTACTTCCCAGATTGCTCTCCCGGTTTCGAGCTCACCTGCCCCTGACCTGCCTTTTGCCTGCTGTCTGCTGGGTTGTCAGTCTTCCTACCACTGCAGCCTAGTCGGTTACCACAACAAACTGCAGTCAGGTCAAGACCCCGGTGAGGACAATATCATGCAGATGGGCTCCCCTGAAACCCGATTGTTGCATCAACTGTCCGAGGGTCTCAGACGATCTTGCAGGTGAAGATCCTGGACTGGTGTGGTAACATGTGGTCTGTGGTTGTGAGGCTGGTTGGATGTAATGCCAAATTCTCATGAATGCCTTTGGAGGCAGCTTATGGTAGATAATTGAACATTCAATTCACAGGCAACAGCTCTGGTGGACTTTCCCGCAGTCAGCATGCAAATTGCTCGCTCCCTCTAAACTTGCAGCAATGTGGTGTTGTGCTGTGTGATAAAAGTACACATTTTAGAGTGGCCTTTACTGTGAGCAGCCTAAGGCACAGCTGTGCAATAATCCTGCTGTCTGATCAGCATCTTGATATGCCCCACCTGTGAGCTGGATGGATTATCTCGGCAAAGGAAGAGTGCTCACGAACACAGACTTTAACTAATTGTTGAACAATATTTGAGAGAATTTTGTAGTTTTTACTCCACCCCATTTTTTGTATACAAATGTAGTTAATTGCTACCTTGCAGGCATGGAATTATAATACAGAATATAAATCAACCAATAAATCATTATGTATTATTATAGGTTAAGCTACCCAGCAGTATAAGTGATTTAAATAATCCCTAAATGTACGAAGTGCAACATTCACATTAATCCATTAATAATTATAATACAAAAATGTAATATTTGAATATCTGATATGGGCCATACTGTAAAATGAACACCCTTACTTTTTGTAATTAAAGTATATGTTTATGCCAATACTTTTGTCGCTTTAATTGAGTACAATTTTAAATGCAGGACTTAAATTTGTTTACAATGTAGTATTGCTACTTTTACTAAAGATCTGAGTACTTGTTAAACCTCACCCTGTGTGTGGTATCTCTGTGCAGAAGCTAAACAGGACCTGGAGTCGTATGTAGCCTTTGTGAAAGACTCCAGAGGAGTCTCACAAAGGAGGAAAAGGTACACATGCTTTAAATTAGGAATCAAAGATATTTAGCTATTTTCATAAATGATGATAGCTGTGTGTAATAAATAATACCTTGTGTATAACTCTTTTATAACTACCGATGCACATTTACATTTTGAAACCAAATGCTTTCTTCACAAGAAATACATCGCCAAGGTAGTTTTTACAAATCATTTTAAGACAACGTTTATATTAATACACAATTGTTATCAATCATTATCAGAATCGGTTTTATTACCAAGGAGGAATACGGGGAATTTGTTTTAGTGTGAATGGTGCATACAAAGACACATACAGAAGAATATGTTTTTCAAAGAAAGGAGACAAGAATAGTACTATTATAAAAACTATTTTAACAAATAAAAAATAGAGACAATATTTACACAAAATATGAATATACTGCAAGAGTGCATATTTACAATACTGCATGAGTCACACTGCAGTTAAAGGCTCATTTCTTATTGAAAATATTGGATACTGTAGCTTAAATTCTCTAAAATATTCCTGCAAATGAGAAAACAGTGACTTCATAAAATAAGAATAACGATGTGAAGAAATATTTTTCTTAAGTATTTTCTGCCATTTCATGATCTCTCCTGTACATTTGTGCACATGAACACGTGCGTGCTCTGGCAAGTCAGCCTGGATTCAGAGTGTGGAACATGCAACAGAGTCAGACTTTATTGCCCAAAGGAGAGAGCTACAGGACGCTGTGCTGTACAAGCTCTCCGCTCAGAGTGAGTATCAGTTGTATTACTGCACCACAGGGGAAGCCTCCACAAAGCAGGAACCGTCTCATAGTAGAGTTGGGGCTTTCAGATGTAACAAGAGAATGCAATTCCTGAAGAAATTGCTAGTGGGAATGCTTTATGCTGAAAATCTGACGCGAAACTGCTATGCTGAAATGTAATGTGTAAGAAGAAAGTGAAGAATTTAGATTGAAATGATACATGAACACTGGGGGCTTGAATGTGTGATGAGTGAAGAAAAGAAAGTAAAAAGGCTTGGAAAAGCAGCAGAATATTTGAACTGCAAACTTTTGAACTAACTTGATGGCGAATGATCTGTCGCCATGGCAACGGCATTTGATGACACCCCATAATACGCTTAGATGCGTTGATGGCTTCATCGTTACCAAACCTGTGAAGTTTTGGGCCGTTTGGAACATTTTCCTGGTTCTGCTGTTGCGGAGGCCTGCTCCCACCTGTCGTGTGCTGCGGTGTCGTGTGCTGCTTTGCTGAGGAGACCTTTTACCCCGGGGATACCACGGAGAGACCGGAGCGCTTCCACACTGCTGCTTTTGCCTGTCTTTTGCTGCTGTGAGGAGGAGGATTTTTGCCCCAGGAACATCGCGGATACTGTGTGCTGGTCTGGGAAAATGGCCCCTATCGTGATTCTGCTATGCCTGTTAGCTATTTTGGACAATGAGAAGTTCTCTCGTCATCCTGAGAAGTCGACTGGGTTCAGGTCTGTTCTACCGCCCGCAGTGGACATCCCCTGTAAAGGTTCGGATGTGTTACACAAACAATTACTGGTTGCCTTGTCACAGACATTCAGTTCGACAAATGTTTGTCTTTCTCACTTGCCTGCTATGATGGTTCTTCAGGACTGCTTCTTGAGCTCTAATCTCACTTTCGCGGAGTTTGCTGGTGACTTTAAAGCAGATGACAATGTATGTGTGTCGGTTAAGAGGAAAAGGTGCTTGTTTTTTTTGCTATTATTACTATCAGGGAATGTACAACTAAACCCTGGACCGCCCAGTAGCAGTAGTAGTCAGATAGCTACTCCTGCTGATTTTATTTCTAGATCTGGGTTGGGATTCATTCACTTAAATGTGCGCAGTCTGTTACCTAAATTAGATTTTGTCCGCATTTGGGCGAGCTCGACTGATGCTGATATCATTGTCTTATCAGAAACGTGGCTAGATAAATCTATTTTGGCCTCTGACATCTACTTAAATGGTTATAGTGTATATCGTACCGACCGTCCTAAAAAAGGTGGTGGCGTTGCCATTTATGTGAAAAATAAGTTTTGTGTAACCAAGATGGTTTCCAAATCTATTAGTAAACAACTAGAATTTTTAGCCTTAAATATTGAAGTAGCAAAGGGTCAACAGCTCATGGTGGTGGGCTGCTACAGACCCCCCTCAGCTGTCAAGGACTCTTTATCTTCATTGGCAAAACTTTTATCTCAACTTGACTACAAGGAAATAGTGCTGCTTGGTGATTTTAATTGGGACTGGTTAACTTCTGTGTCAGAGGATTTTAAAAACCTTTGTATCTCGCTGAATGTTACTCAGATTATAGACAGTCCTACTCGCCCTAACATTAAGTCCCCAAATAAATCCTCCTTAATTGATCTCATTTTAACTAATGCTCCCCATAAATACTTATCTGTGGGAGTATTTGCAAATGATCTGAGTGATCACTGTGTTGTAGCCACAATTAGGGACACAAAAGTCCAAAAGGTTAAACCTCGCATTATCAGTAAGAGAGACAAAAAACATTTTGTGGAGCAGGGTTTTGTACATGATCTGTTTGATTTTGATTGGGGTAAAATCGATCTGTGTGCTGATGTAGAAACTGCATGGTCTTATTTTTATCTTGGTTTTATGGAAATTATAGATAGACATGCACCCCTGCGTACATTTAGAGTAAAGGGACGAGACAATCCTTGGTTTTCTGCTGACTTATCTAGTCTCCTACATGAGAGAAACAAGGCCTGGGCAAAGGCTAGGAAATCAGGCTCAGAGGTAGAATGGCTACGCTTTAGGCAGCTAAGAAATAGCTTCACATCACAAATAAAAAGTGCTAAGTCTAACTATTATCTGTCAGTTACCACAAAGAACCTGAATAATCCTGGACAATTTTGGAAAGCCATAAAATCGATATCCACCGGTGATATCCGTAATGAGCTACCTCCGTGCATTACCACAGCATCTGGCACTATATCGGACAGGGCCACTATGTTAAATTGTTTTAACCTCTTAAGCCCTGAGCCTGTTTTTCAGGTCTCAGGCTCGAAAATGACATTCCCAGAACAAATGACCATATCTTCCCTTCTAAAAGGTTAAATTAATAATCTTTATTCTCAAAGTAATGATAAACCTGTGAGTTGGATGTAGAAAAGTCAGACTCAATATAGATGTTTATTATTTTAAAGAAAATTCAGATTTTACATAGTAAAAAACTGTAAATTATAGTGTCCGTCCAAAAATTATTTTTTACTTATAGTGAAAACTACCCTTGGATGATGGGTTAGTAGACTAAAAGCTTTAGGAATCCAAAGTACAACATATACAGATGAAGCGTTTTATTTTGGACAGTTTAAAGTGCGAGGGTCGTGATCGGTTCGTGCACGTTCCGTGATGGCCGGCCGGCCCCCAGTCTGACTTGATACCGCCCCCATGATAAATACATTTAATTATTGTGAAGCCAGCTGCAATGGATCATTGATCCACCAGGGGGTGCAGTGGGGTTCCACACTGGAGTCATGTGAAATCAACTTCTTTGTTGTTAAGATCCATACAGTGTATGTCACGGATAGGATCATAGTCTGTGCTAAATAAGACATGTAATCATTTAAATAATGTTGTTTAGTCGGAAAAAACGAACGAGCCGGCTCTCCCGATTTTTAATCCTAATTTAATCATCATCATTGATGTTTATGTTCGCCGAATTGACATGAAATCACTGACAAATATGAATATTCTGTATTCAACTTCATTGAAACGATCAGGATGGGTGTTATTTTTCCCCACAATGACCAAGTCGCTGCAAATGATCCCATGTATTACATGTACATGGCCACATTCTCAACAAAGTAACGTAACGAAACATTCTGTATTCCTTGCTTACTTTTTATTTAATGCTTTATAACAGCTGGAATAGTTCGTTTAGAACAGGCACCTCACTCGCAATCTGCTCCTCCGCAACGCCTACCACCTACCTCCGGCTGAAATTATGAATGTATAGTAATCATAGATAACACGGCAGGGTCCGTTACAGTTTGTTTTCATCTGATTTCAAATATTTCCAATGTCTGAAGTTAATAAATACATTCTCAGTGTTCAAGTCAATAATAGTCATATAAGAAAAGTACTGATCTAATAACAGAGATTTTATAAGGACTTTTCAATGTTCGACATCGCTCATGTGAAATACAGTAAACTGGATGTTGTGGTGCCGAGAGGCGGGGTATCAAAAGTACAAGCTAAACTTTTATTTAGCATCTGAACACACTTGTAAACAACGTGATGCCCGGGAAGCGAAGACCCGGCGGAAACAGCTGGTCTGGTTCACTAAAATGTCCGTGTACAGTATATCTGGTACTAATGTATAGCGGATCTTTGTTAAGATCCATATGTCACGGATAGGATCATAGTCTGTGCTAAATAAGACATGTAATAATTTACAAAACATCACCATGTTGTTATGCGCATGTGCGAGATGTCACGTTGTAATAACAATAACTCATCTCTCTCGGTTTTTTTTGTTTTCTTTGTGTGGTTTGCCAAAAGCCACTGTGTCAAGTGTCCTAGTTGGGTTGCCGTAACGAACAGCAGCCGGCTCTCGATTTTTAATCCTAATTTAATCGTTTATGTTCGCCGAATTGACATGAAATCACTGACAAATATGAATATACTGTATTCAACTTCATTAAAATGTTATTAACGTGCCTAAACTCAGTAATTCACTAAAAATTACTGATCCCTCCGCGTCGCGTCGCGGAGGGATCTTGATCCCTGGGTGTTATTTTTCCCCATAATGACCAAGTCGCTGCAAATTATCCCGCTTATTACATGGCCACAAAGTAACGACATGACTCCCAATATTAATTAAAATGCTTTTATGGATTTAGAAAATATTTTTATTGATTTAAAAAATAGTTGTATGTATTGATTTGAATTTACATGCATCCGCTAAGAAAAATAGTCCGTTGTTACCGTTTTTTAAACAGTCAGAATGAAACGGCAGCTCTCAGCTGTGTGTTCACACTTCTAATGGCCCATCACAGCTCTCTCCCCCCCTAATCTTTCTTTTCCAACAGTTAAGTTAACTGTAGGTTACTCTGAGTGACAAGCTTACAGTTAGTGAAGTAACACTTTTTTTTTGTGAGTCACGACCTCGCTGTTTCATTCTAACATAACGCTCCAAATATGACTGTTTCCACTCGGACTTCAATACAGCAACACCATTGTTTGGTTTCCATGGTAGCGTGTCTCTTTAGTAGCGTGCACTCCTTTCCTGTAAATTACAGGTCCAGCCAGGCAAAACAGTAATATGAAATATGAACGTTAGTTTTTAACTGAAATGATCAAATAAAGTTAAAATGTCACAGTGTTTACAAACATTGACCATACCGTTCACCAGCCCCCACCCCACTATGTTGAGTATAGCCTACTCTTTGTTTAAAACGAATTGGCCATCGGAATGTGTGTGTCCCAACCCCCCCCCCCCTGTGATATCTCTTCTCCAGCAGTCTGTAGTTTGTCCGTAAACTTTAGAATGAAATGTAATACCGGTTAGTTTTTTGTGTTCATACTGACAGAAGAAGAAATAAATTAAGTATGAATGAGAATAAGACTTATGTAATGTATTGACATTTGATCAGTAGCCTATAAATGTATTACTAACTTTATCCACTGTGGTACCGAAGCTTGGATCACCGCCAAAGACACGGCCGAGGGCAGCTGGCAGCTTTCAATATTTTTCATGTGCGATTCTAACGCTTTCAGAAAGTGAAACATACAGCATCATTTGAGAAAAATAAATCAAAATAAGCGTTATAAATGAACCCTGACTACTTGTGTTTAGGACTCACTGTATTTTGCTACTCTCTAGGTCTGTGGGCCAAATCCAGATATGGGGGGGGGGGGTTCTGTTAGAAGGTGCGACGGGGGAGGGGGGAGAGAGTTATGCCGCGTTTCCACTACAGCCCGCAGCCCGGTTTAAGAGGGCTGTGACGTCAGCGGCCCGTTTGTGGTTGCGTTTCCACTTGGCCTAGTACCGGCCGGCGGGTCCTAATTCACAGTTTTTCTGGCCTCATAAAATCGTGGGGCCAGGGCCAGAGACAACGAGGCTGAGTTTGTGACGTCAACGCTCTCGGCTGCTGATTGGTCGGAGAGAATCGTCACAATCTGCGCGCTAGATAATCCATTTTTACAAACAGCATTTTTGTTAACAGAGGAGCTACAACAATGGCAAAGAAAAGCACACCATGGTCGGTCGAGGAAGTGACGACGTCCATTATATTGCAGATGATAAGGTCCAGCGGGTGCTCGACGGGACAACTCGCAATATCAAAGTCTTTCAGGAGGTCTCTACACAGACACTGGCGTTACTGGAGTCTGCATGGTACGTTTTTGCTAACGTTCTGTTATTTGCTTGAAAGCTTTGTGTCCCTATCTGTTCTAAAGCTCACTTCTAACAAATAAGTCTATTTTATCCTTACATTTATGTTCGACAACCCATGATTTTATGGAGCCCCGAAGGCTAGCTAGGCAGATAGCATTAGCGAGAGCTATTGTTTGCTAACACCATATGTGCCATTGTTTACGTTCAGTTTGTCTTTTCTATAGTTGTTGTTGCTATTTATAGTATTGTGCTGCAGTAGTTTGTGGAATT